AACTTGTTTGGTTGCTAGCGACAAATCCAGAACAAACATCAACATCTAGTACTCTTATTCACTCTAGTGAACGTAATATTTGTTTGTATATTAGTAATAGTATTAAAATAAAAATATTTATTCTAATAAAAGCTGTTGTTCAAAAATACACCCTTGTAAGGCATTTTCTTTGGTTAAGGGACTTCATGTGAATAATTAATTCTACGTTGAAGCAAGACAATTTCTTAGAACTTAATGCTTCAAACAATTGAATGCTGGGATTCCTAGGGAAGAAAATATCCTCAAAAAGTATATTCCACAAAAAAATATTGAATTATAATCTTATAATGACTTATTAAATAATTAATAATTGTTATAATTATTAAATATAAAGCTTACTTATTTTTTACAAAATGTACAATAATACCCTTTATTTACAAAAATGCCATACTGAACAATTATATTATAAGCTAATAAAATAACAACATTGTATTGTTTCTTATTAACTATGTGTCATCTTTCCTTTTCAGCTTTCTGTTATAGGATAATTTTTTTAATCCTATTTCAGACAAAGTGTACTGGTGTTTTCAAGGACGGGAAGGCAAGAATTTTTAAATTTAGTCAATAAATTTATGATCACCTGAAAATTCATAAAGAAAAACTATTTCAGGTTAAAATTCAATTTCAGAATATCTTGAACGTATATAAAAAAGTGAAATGAAATGCAAATTTGACACTGATATTATCACTGTTTCAGCCCTTAAATAACTCCTAAATGTTTTGTTTATTGCTCTTAAAAAACAGATCAGGTGTTTTTTTAAAAGTTAATACCATAATTTTTTGTATTAAAAAAATCTCGAAATTATTGCTAAAGAAAAAGCAGAAACAAAGGCATTATTATTTATTTATACCTAGGCAAATTTAATTTCTTTGAGATCGAGAAGATATTTTAAAGCAAATGTTTATGTTATATCCTGAAATCACCTAATTTTTTGTTGTCATAAATCAGATGAAAAAGTCACATTTGAAACCCATCCCTTTTTCAAATCAGCTAGCTATCCAGGTATAATCATGAAAATCTTGTTCCGCTCTTGAAATTAAGATATTCAGTTACCAAATCTTAGCTCGCTGAATAATTAACTTTACTTAAAAGAACATATTTGGTATACATTAAGTATATATTGTTCATTCAAAAAACGAAATCTTTTCAGAAAATAACATCCGTTTTAAAAACTAAGTAAATTTCAGCATTAAATATGCTTTAAAAGTTTAAATTTTGAAATCTCCTTAATATTTAACTATAGTTTCTCTAAAAGCAAGTTTAAAAGTCACATCAAGTTAAGTTGATTAAATTTGCCAGAAATAATAAAACAGATATTTTTCATAGTAATTATTCAAATATTATGCTAAATATCTTAAATTATAGGTAATATTTAAGTAAAAAGAAATTTAAAAAATATTATTATCTGCATGTAAATGCATTTCTAATTTATGACAAAAACATGGAAAATCAGAAATAATATCAAATACAATCGAACTATAAACATTGCTTTTCAAATATTTCAGCAATCTCACAGAAGGAATGAATATTGCACCAGATATTTTTTAATATGGATTTTATTAATAGCAGTTTAACCAATCTGCATTGAAATTCTGATGATAATCAATGACCCAGCGATTTAGGTAACTTAGATTAAACATGAAAAATAATAATAAAAGAAAAGCGGGTAAATTTTAAAATCAAGTTATTTCTAAATAAGTCTTTTAGGAAAGAAAAACCTTTAAGATAGTATTCGCACCTGTAGCCTGCGGCATTCGGACGGTCATCACGGAGAAGATATTATAGTCATTTGCAACTTTCTTGACAACTCGCATCTACAGGTACTAATATTTATGGTAGTAATCCATCTTACTTACAGTCGGAACCCTTGATCTAGTATTCAGGGAGGGGAAAGAAATAACAATAGCAGTAGCTGGCATTTTTCAGTGGTTTAGGGTTATTTTCCCGACATTTTAAGGGAAGCTCGGTCCAAAATTAGTGACAGTTTTAAAGATATTTGTAGAAAATAACTCGACAGGCTAAGGGTTAATCAAGATGTTAGAAGAAACAGCACTTTGATTGAATGTGACGGAAGCTGCTTTCAATTGTATGGCTACATGAATTTAAACTACAGCATGGAATATCATGTCATATAATAAAGCAGTCCTGAGTCAGTTGAAGAGTGATTCAAGAATTTATCCACAAAAATAGATTTGAATTAAAAGACTTTAATGCTGATGAAATTGCTCTTTTCTTTAAACTTACACCTGCAAGAACTCTAGCTTTCAAATGTGACCAGTGTCATAGAGCTAACCAAAGTAAAGAATGTCTCACTGTTTTACTTTGTGTAAATACAGATGGTACAGAAAAATAACTCCTTTGGGTATAGGAAAGCAAGAGCATGTTAAAACTCTGCTATTAAAATATAATGCAAATAAAAATTAATGACTGCAGTACACTAGGAGAAAGGGGCATCCAGATCTGGCTACCTTACACGGTTGCCCCAAAACTTAGAGGAGACATTGGCTGTCTCCCAGTGTTGACTAAGAAGAAGCAATCCCCTAAGGACCACCTTCGAAATCTCACCATGTAGGCCCTCACAACCGAGAGACAATACCATAAAGGTCCCTCCTGAACCTGAACGTATCACTGAATAAATTCTAGCTTCTAATGACTGTGAAGACAATTTTTTCCCAGAAGTTGAGACTGTCTAGATATTGACCTAGCCAGAACACCACCATTGATGACTACAGATATTTTAATAGATTGGCTGAAGGAAATAGAAAAAACTGTGTGGGGGCAACAGCAAAAGTTTTCTTTTTATGGATCAGCATACCACTTATTCTGAAACTATAGATTTCTTGCAAGATGTGAAAGTCGTTTTCTTCACAGCCAATTGCACTAGTGTAGTACAAACTTTAGATATAGGTATCGTTAAAAATTTAGAAATGTTCTATAAGCATAGGTTACAGGAAATACATAGGATAACTTAAACATCCTTGAGGCTATGAATATGGTTTCACTAGTCACTGGAGTCAAGTAAAACCAGGAACAATTAAAAAATAGTTTCATTAAAGGGAGATTTTCAGAGTTGCATAAAAATGTTGACAATGAAACTGATTATGAATGAAGATTAAAAACTACTGAGATTAGGCATTACAAACGAGGAATACATAAACTCTGATGGCAATGTAATGACATTAGACTTCACAGCTGTAAAACTGTTTGACAAAGTTTTACGAGATGAAAATATAAGTAGCACAAATGAAGAAGTAATCCCGTTACCTTTTCAAAATGCTATCTACTGCACTAACGGCCTCAGAAGTTTCTTTGTGTGCAATAATACCTGCGAGAAACATTTCAAGAACTGAATTCGATTCATAGCACTTTGCCTAAAATTCAGAATCAAATAACATATCAGATGACAATTAAAGACTTTTAAGTTTTGCTTTAAAATGTTCTTGGAAAAAATTTTTCCTTATTTAAGATAATAATTAAAATAAAGGTATGGCCTTTTTTTTTTTTTTTTTTTTTTTTTTACGAGTTTTACGTAACTTGAACTTGCATTAATTTACATTCTTATGATTTTAAAAGTGATAAATTTGTATTAATATAATGTTTAAAATATTAATTATAAAAAATATTTTTATTTAAAATATGAATTTTAAATTTGAAGATGGTTAAAATTTTAAACAAATTGAAAGTACGATTATAAAATTGAGTATTATCAGGACTGTTGGTAGTGTCAAAATTGTATTAACATATATATGTTTTGCATTGTAAATTAATTTTTTTATATATTTATACTTTCTTATTTATACATTGTTTGTGAATGGTTCCCTTAAATGAAGTGTGAATGGTGCTGTACTGTATAAGATATTCAGTGAATATTGCTGGTGTCAGCTGCACTGCAGAAATTTCAGAACTAAATTAGGAAGAAGAAAGTACAACAAAGGAAGAGTTATCATATGAACACAGATAATGAATATTTTTAACAAGAAATTAGATTTTTGACTCAAAATATGTACAGCAAACAACAGGTCATTAAAGACTTTATAGTGCTAATTAAGAAGCACTTGGTAGACGGAAGACATTAATGACGCAACAATAAATAACAGCATTAAGTAAACAACTGAATGGAGATGTTTTTCTTCGGCTTTTATAAGCTTTTTAATAATGCATGAGAACATTCTGTTATTTTCTCGATTTTTCTGTATATCAAAAGAGCACAATTACGAGATCTCTATTTATTAAAATGTTAAATGCGCGGCGTAGCTTTCTCTTCAAATAAGTCTCGTGCTGCAGTGTACGGGGGGAATAAAACAATTTTAATTACAAATCTACTAAAAATAACTAAATAAATACAAATTCCGTAACAATATTATCACCCTCTATAATAGTTAAACAAATTAAATAGCGAAGAATCTGCAAGAATTTATGTACGTTTCTCGCGTTGTGAAAAAATCAACGATACCTAGAACCATCAAATTTGAAATAACCTAGTCCTCCACCCGAATATGGGCACTTGGAAGCCCGATTCTTGAATTTCGAATTTGTTTTATTATCTGTTTCACATTTTTTAAACGCCGTTAACTCAGAAGCATTAGGAATTACACATAGAACCAAGAATAATTACATGTGGTAAAGTGATTTAAAAAAAAAAGATCTTAAATTACTATGGGAGAAAAAATAAATATGTAATATTTCAGAATTTTTTATATTTTGAAATGGCAACCGATTTACAATATTACTAAAAAGGAGGGGAAAAGTTTGGTAGTTTTGTATCATGCTTTAGAATTGTGTGTCATATAAATGAGTTTTGATAATTAAAACTGAATACTCTGTATTTTGTATTCTCGAAATCTATATGCTCTTAAAAAAAAATAATAATCCAATTTGTGTTATTGATAGAGCCACAAAAATTCATCTTTATTTTCTGGAATATATTTTTAGTGAATCTGGCAACTATGATTAATGAATTTACAATAAATATGTACAAGTGTAGGTAGTAAACTGTGTTCTGACGTGAGTTATGTGAAGTATCGGGAGAGTGAAAGAAAATATCTCTCAGATTATCATACACGAGAATAAATCAACTCTAACGTATATATTCAGTTTTTGGAAAGGTTAGTAAAAAGTGATTTCATTTGGAATTTCAAGAAAATTGTTTTTTCTGAATCTGTGTGTTGATTACTAACAGCTGTTCCGTTTGTTGCGTCATGTATTTCTGTATATAGACAGAAGGATTTTTTCTTACTTCATTTTCGCTCCCATTGAGCGTGTGTTAAATACCATGGTGGCTTGTTATATTAATCAAATGAAGTAGCTTGTTAGAATCGTAGGTTTATTTCTCGCTACGTTTTGATGATGTATGATATATTTATTTACTTTTCAGGTATTTGCAAGGAAAATAAATTAAACGGGTGACATGTAGTCATTATAAATTTGTATTTTCTAAATTTTAAAATGTATTTTTTTTAATTCATGGAGGAGTGACGTAAGTCAAAGATTCTTGATTTAAACAATTTAATTTAATTTAGACTTCCTTGTGTGTCTGCATTATCATGCATGTAAAGCCATATTTTGTTAATGCTGCTCCAGATATTGTTAAAGATAATGAAAAGCTGAGAAAACTACTGATTCATTATGTTTTTAGCATAGGTTATTGTATTATAATATACTATCAGTGAATTCTAAACTGTGATCCCTGACATATTAGTGCTCATAAATTAATAGACAGGGATCTGCAGATGAAATTTAAAAACTAGGTTTTTATTTCCTACTTAACTAAATCATGAGAAAATGTAATAAAAATACTGTGTAAATGTAGATATAGTTCCAATATAATGCACAGCATATGAAGAAATCTTTGATATATTGTGCTGATACAAGAGAGTACATTAAGTATGACTTAGTAAAATATACAGTGGCTTCCAAAAGTGTTTGTATACTTATGGTTTTCACTGAAATAGGGCTCTATCCATTAATTAAAAGTAAACTTTCTGAATGAGATTTTAATAATAAGATCTATAATATATTTGTAACAAAATTACATGAAATATTTTTAAAATATAGCGAAACTTTATTTTTAAGAAATTAATAATCAAAAAATGACAAACATTTTATCTCACAAAAGTCTTTATACACTTCAAAAAAAGTCCTGACATATTTTACTAGTTTATTTTGTAATTTCTTTATCAATGTTCATCCATTCTTCCATCATGGCTGTTTTAAGTTTGCTTTTCGTTTTGAGTCGTGTTTTCGTACTCTAACCTCCAGCTCTTTCCAAATGTGTTCTATGGAGTTTAAATCTGGCAACTGAGATGGGGTTTTCAAAACCTGTGGACAATTATAGAGACACTACAGGCGAACGTTGAGAGCCATATACTTAGGATCGTTATCATGATTTAAAATAAAATTGTTTCCAATACCCAAATTTTGGGCTGATAACTTTAAATTGCCTCTTAAAATATTTAAATAAAGAGATTGATTCATTATGCCATGAATAAATACCAAATTACCGAGTCCTGATGCTGCCATGCACCCCCACTCAACAACACCTCCACTGCCATGCTTAACTGTTCCAACTAAGTTCTTATAATAAAGTTCCTCATTTTTTCTTCTCCATACAGTTATTCAACCAACGGAACCAAAAATGTTAAATTTGCTTTCGTCAGCAAATAGGACATTATTCCAGTACGTTTTGGGTGTATTTATCATTGATTTTGTGAATGAAAGTCTTTCTGTTTTTCTCACTAACAGTTTTTTTTATTTATTTATTTATTTATTTATTTTTTTTTTTATGGGCAGAACGCCTATGTAATCCAGCTTCTCTCAGAACTCGTCGAACAGTTTAAGATGAAACTGAAGTAGAAATTTTTTGCAGAAACTTTTACAGCACTCAAATGTGGATTTTTCACAAATTTTCTAATAATAAATATCTTATCATGTTTAGTTAACTCTCGGCCGACCTTTTCTTACCTCGTTTTCCATCCAATTTTCTTCTTTAAAGCGTTTTATCACATACTGCAGTGTAGAGTTGAATAAATTAACTAATCTAGCGATATTTGGAATTGATTTACCACTACTATGGTGAAAAATTATCAATTTTCGAATGCTGTTTGTAATTTCTTTATGACTGTGACCTATTTTTCAATAATAAATACAATATTATGAAGTAAACAATAAAAAATTAAAGCAAACGATTTTTTAAAGCCACAAATGCCACCACAATGCAAAAATTTAAAAAAAGCGGCAAACAATAATTCTAATTTTGATTTTATCTAAAAATATTTCAGTGTACGAAGACTTTTGTGAGATAAAATGTTTGTCATTTTTTTATTATTAATTTCTTAAAAATAAAGTTTCGCTATATTTTTAAAATATTTCATTTAATTTTGTTATGAATAGATTATAGATCTTATTATTAAAATCTCATCCAGAAAGTTTACTTTTAATTAATGGATAGAGCTCTATTTCAATAAAAATCATAGGTGTACGAACACTTTTGGGAGCCACTGTATGTTGATCTTTGTCAGTAAGTAAATTAATTTAATGTTTTGTTTTGTGGTCATTATTAAAATAGTTCTTTTCATACTGAATGAAATTGTCATGCAAGTAAAACTAAGAGGAATTTATATATATATATAATTTATTTACTAAAGAAATATTGATTATATTATCTCCTAATATAAATTTAGTAGAAATATCAAAAAAGAGTGAATGTAGAAAGTTTAATTTCGAAAATTGTATTTTAAAGTAACTCGAATGTAAATTATTAAAAATGTTTTACAGGGACTTGAATTAAATCATGAATAACAAAATTTCAAACTTTGAAAAAGAAATTAAATTAAAAGCAAGTAATTATCGCTATTGATCAGAAATTAGTTGACTTTTCAAAGGGAACAAACCAACACTTGTTCATTGAACAATAATTAATAAATACGAAGGTGTTTCGTCTTTTACTCAAGTAAGAATGGTTATACCAAACTGCAAATTAAGTTAGGCCAAATAGTTCTGTGACGTGATGGTATTTAGAACCAAAGTAGAGTACCAAAGAACTCTTTCTGAATTAAGCATTTTCGCTAATACAAATTTTGAGTGAAAAGCAATTTATGTAGAAAAATTTATAAATTACTCGAGTAAATGTCCCGACACCTTCACTTTTATGCATGTTAATTCAAAACTATTTGTATAAAAATTAAACAGTGTTAATCTTAATTGGAATTAGGAAATAAACATTAGAAAATTAAGAAACATAATGCTATCTTTGCAAAAACAAATCAAATAATAAAAATTGAAAAATTAATATGTATATAATAAGAAAAAAATGTGAAATGTACATAAAGATATAAAAGCCAGAAAATGCATTAAGTAACTTGCATTCTTTCTAGGTGGGATGTCGATGAAGTGTTCTCTTCAGTATCTTTCTCAGAAGGGGTGTGTGTACGAAATTCGGGCGGCGAAACTTGTGAGAAGTAATTTATGGGACATGGGAGGGACTAGGAATGCTTAAGGGACATTTGTTGCAGAGTTCCTATATGAGTGAAAACGTCTGTTAAAATTTTGAATATACTAACTAGTGAATGGAAATTAATTTCTGGCTAATTGTCGTATTGGAACGAGGAAGAAAATTAGAAAAGGAAAAAAGTAATTTTCACTGTCAACAAGCTATTTGAGAGACTAAAGATTATGAAATAGGCTCATTTTTTTAGTAACAGCATAAGAAAAGTCTGAAAACAATTAGCTTTTTAGATTAATTGCACTATGTACAAATCCTCCAACTGATAATCATCCAACTTATACCGCCTTCTCAGGTTTAGGAACAAATTATCAGATCCCTATCAGTTAAATGATTTAGAGTGAGTATTTAACACCTGCTTCTTTTAAGACAATGGTCAATAAATCAATTAGGTATTAGATTATTTTTGAGAATTTTAATAATGAGCAAAATTTCGTGTTGTAGATCTATCGTATCTGTGCAAATATTTTAGCTAATCTTTAAAATATGGTAACAGGTAGTTTGGCGACATTTTGGTAAGGCGATAAAGGTTACTAGCTAGGACTTTAGCAGTGTACATGGATATAGTCAAGAGTGTGCGCAATGCCATTTTTGTGCAATTCTGGGATGTTTTTTTAAGTGAAAATAGGTCGACGTGTACATGGATGATACCGTGTATGTGCAGTTCGTAAAAACGCGGCAAGCAGTGGGCCATTCTGCACTTTGTTCCAATTTTGCAACTAATCTTCGTCATGATTAAGCACTTTTGTTCCATAAAAATTCTAGCATAAGTGTAATTCGGCTAGCAGATTGTTAGAAAAAAATGTTGGAAATGGAGTTTAAAAAAAAAAAAAAAAAAAAAAAACGATGCCTTTACTTCGTGAAAACAAAATGGCATCCAAACAAAAACTAGCAGGTTGCTGTAGCAGGGTTGGTCGCCAAAAAATTGCCAAGTTACCATAATCCAAAGATTAACCAATATTTTTAATACGTTTTATTTGATTTATTATTGTATTACTAATAACTTTTTTGGAGATGTTGGAAGTCCAATTTATTAATTTGTTAGTTTTGAAACTGAAGTTTCTTGTTTTGTCAAACAGTAAAATTTTTTTGTAGTTAATGATTTGAAGATTGAGATAGTCAATGTTATTTTGTGCATTATTAGTTTTATTAAGTGTAAGGCATTCTGGTTAAATCTCGGAGTATTCAATTTTATTAAATGTAATAAGATCATCTATATATCTGTAAGTGTGCTTGTAGTAATTAATTCTTGTTATTGTAATTTTTTTTGGAAATTAAATTCTTTGATAAATAAAAAGAGATTACAGATCGAGGTACTGGAATGGGAGCTCATTGGAAGTCCTCTGACTTGTTTAAAAAGTTGATTTTGAAATTTAATGTAGTTATGAAAAAGTGTGCATTTTAGGTAGGTTTTCCATTTACTAAGATTCATAATCGTGAGCATAGCAGGGAAGAGTTTAGGCAGATCTAGTAGAATAGTATATATTTCTTCTAAAGGAAGTGAGGTATATAAGTTTTCAAAGTCAAAGCAGTTAATGTTTTGTATGTCAATTGTTTGAATGGCATTAATGACAGGAGTGTTATTATGAATGAACCAGCAATAGT